TTTGCTTGGCTTAGCTTGTTCTAAGTAGGTGCTTTAGACCACTGAGCCATCTCACCAGCCCTTGTTTTTTTTTTTTTTTTTTTTTAAAGGAAAGTCAGTACTCTAGATTTATAGTTCACATCTTCAACATACTATGCTGTATCTTCACATAATATTTCCTGTATGTGTAGGATCCTAATGGGAAGTATTTTTCTCTCTCTTTGCTGCTGCTCTGAGTTTGATTCTACACTATATATATCCTGAAATATATTATTTTGATTATTTTAGCCAATTTTAAAGACATTTAATAATGAGAAAAATACCTTTTTATAATGACATATATATTTTCCATTTTGTTCTTCATTTCTTGGTCTAGGACCAACTGTTTATTCAGTACCACTTTTTTTGGTTATAGTTTTTTCATTGCTGAGACAAAATACCCAACACCCGGTTAAAAAAGAAAAGGTTCATTTAGTTTACAGTTGGTATTGATTTCAGTCCATATTAGGCTGGCTCCAAGGCAGGGTAGTGTGGCATACAGATGTCGCAGAGGAAAAATAGTTCATGGTGGGCAGTAGACAGCAGAGCAAGGAAGTGACCAGCAACAAGTGACCAGTGACAAGTAACTGAAGGCAAACCTCTTTCTGTCCCTTATATTGTATCCAGACTACTTGCCCTTAGGGCAGATAGTACACCATTAATCCTAGCACCCTTCATGCTAGTGTTGCACCATGAATTAATCATACACATAGATCTAGCCACGTCTGAAAAAGCCCAACCTATGACTGCATGAGGCTTTGGGGGACATTAAACACAAGCCATAACAGTTTTTGAGACAGGGTCTTATATTGTAGTTTAGGCTGGCCTCAAACTCACTATATGGCCGAGGTTGTCTTTGATGGGTGTTCTTCCTGTTTCAGTCTTTTGAGTGCTGGGATGACAAGGTGTGCCACCACACCTGGGATACTTCAGCTTTTTTTAAGTGAACATATGTTAGAACCTAAATCTTTCAGTTTTAGATGCCTGGAAAACACTTTATACTTTAATATTTGGATGATATTTTTGCTGGGTATAAGATTCTAACCCCTCAGGTTTTATATATGTTTTCCCTTTTCAGTTCTTTAAACAGATTTTGTTTTCTTCCCATTTCTGACAAAAGATGCATATTAACTTTGTCATGTGTATGCAGTATTTTTTTTTGATTATGTTTAGAATTTCTCATACCACAGGCAATAAGTAATTTGATTATTGTGTCTTTTGATTTTTTTTTTTTTTTTTTTTTTCTTGCTTGGGGTTCATTGAACTTCTTGGGCTATGTGTTCAATGTCTTCAGATTTGGAAGAATTTTGATTTTTTTTAAACATCATTTCCATGTGGATGTGTACATGTATTTAAATTTCTTTGAGTGAAATTTACATAACAAAATGACCTCCATCTTAAAGTGAGCACTTAAGTGGGATCTAGTACATTTATAATGCTTGGTAACTTACTACCTTTGTATGATTCCAAATCTTTACATCACTAAAACTGTCTAGCCATTTCATTTTACATTGCTCTTTAAAGTTCCTGGCAACAACCTATTTGTATTTTGTCTGTATGGATTTACCATATTAGAATGTTTCATGTAAGTAGAATGATATAATTTGTGGCCTTTTGTGTCTGGATTTCTTTATTTAGCATATTTTTCAGTTTTACTCAAATGATAACATTGTCATATTTTTCTCTTCCTTGTCATAATCATGACTTTTGTGGTGATTGGTCGGATTTTAAATACTTCTTTAGCAAGTGTTAGGTTGTTTTTTTTTTTTTTTTTTTGGTAATACACTAAAATTAGTCACAATTATGGGATCAAGAATTATGTCCAGCATTGTCCAATTGCAGAAATTGTTCAGCTTGCTATTAATTTGGGATTTAGGGAGTTTCCTCTCAAATGTATGCAAAGACTTGAGAGGAACTCCTACTAGATTTCCAGAGGTTCTATGTATACATTTCCCTTCTCTAAGATACTCTTCCCCATAAACCTAACATCCTTGGTCTCTTGAAGCTCATGTATTGTTTTTGTAACATGTGCTACAACTTGGAAATTTCTTCAGGCCAATGGGACAAATCTATGGCTCATCTTTTTTCTTATTTCAGCAATCACAGATTATGAATATTAATACTATAGATTTACAAATTTAGGTTTTTTTTTTTTTTTAACCTACTAATCAAGCAGATCACAAAGCATTATTGCCTTATGGACAGTTGTTACTGAATTTTTCATTAGTATGTAGAAAGTCCTTATTGAACTTCAAGCAAATGGATTTAAGAACTTCGTCATCAAATAATCTTGCTAATGACCTGGCTCTGTGGTACAGTGTTTGAATTCTGCAGGGTTTCTTACTGAATAACATTTTAAAACATGTTTATTATCTTTAGAAGCTTTTCATATGTGGATACAGTTTTATAATTTTATTTAGTCTTAATAGTAAATGCTAATACCTTCCTATGTAAGTCTGTCATAGTACCTGTCATTGTTTCAATATTTGTCAATCCTGGACTGGAGCTATAAGTAGACATTTATTCCAGAACTGACTTAACTTCAGAAATGGTGATTTTTTTCCAGCTAAATCTGATATAATTTGCAAACTCATGATGCATTTTTTGCTTAAATATATTTGTACTTTATATTCAGGTATAGGAACCATATAGCCCAGAGCCCAAAGCTAAATGAAACATTTGCTAATACGATTTTATACTTTTGGTTGAAGCCTGAGAATCTAGGGTGGAGGGAAGCTCTGAACCTCTGCTTTTCCTGATAACTAAGTGGGATGAAAACTGAATGTGGGATAAAATGACATTGGCTGTATTAACAAAAAAATCATACTGCTGTGTTTTGCTTTTTTAAAAAATGTTTGCAGTGGAAGACAAACCTTGAAGACTGTCTTGCCATCTAAATTTAAAGAACACAATATGTAGAAAATGAGGGCAGCTGGGTGGAGCTGCTGCTGCTGCTAGTTGGCAGTGTTTTGAAAGAGCTTTACATGGCTTCTGAAGATATGGAGGAGCTATAGTATATTAGCAAAGATGTTATACACTGTAGTCAGTTTTGTGTAGCCAGAGTTTGCAATAGCCTTTTGGATATATGGATTCCACCTTTAGGAGAGCTAAGTAATTAATGTTGATGATAAAGTCCTCAGGAGCCCTGATTTGCCTGGTCATTTGGTTTTGTGTCATTGGATGTTGTGGATGCTGACTAATGGGAGTAATTAATACAAATAGAAGAGATGGGTCCTATAATTTAAAAAGAATTGATCACATGATAAGGTCAGGATGCAGGCAAAACAAGGGCCTTACTTCAAAATCCTGCCTGAAATTATTGCATAACTGTTTTTCACTTACAAGATGGAGTACTTATTAAAAACTTTTTTTTTTTTTTGTGGTACCAGGGATTGAACCCAGGACATTGTGCTTGCAAGGCAAGTGCTTGCTTATTCTACTGAACTATGTCCCTGGCCCAAAAAACAAATTTAAAAATACATAAAATAGAATGAAAACACAGCAGCAGTACAAAGGTTGGTAAATAGAGTTCAGTATACTCTTGAGAACCTTGTACCGATTTTCAGGAGGGGTATATACAATAAGGAAAAGGAATATTTTAAAATAGAGGCATGCAAGAATATGGGGAGCAATAAACAGGAATCATGGAAAGAACATTAAAATCAGTTGAGTAACAAAATAAGTAGGATTTGAGCTGTACTTGTGAATAATGTAAAGATTTATTGTCTGCTGTCTAGATTTTATCTTTATTTTAACATATTTGATACTTAAAATGACCTAAAATTAACCAATTCTGGAAATTTTTTCAAGAAAAAGACAAATTATTAGCAACTGAGGAACTGAAAACACCAATTTCCAAATAAACTTTTCTTAGGTATATAGTTACATAGGATTAAATATATTTTAGTAGTTTAAAAGCCAGCCAGTCATATTAAACTGTCCCTCACTCTTCAGATTGCTTCCCCATAATTCGTAGGGTATTTAAATGTAAATTCCAATGTTTATCCTATTTTACACTTACTGCCAGTTGGTAGGCAGGGCAAAGACTAGATAAATAATATGAGATGTTTGATATTCAACATAGCAATGAACTTTAATGACTGAATTTTTAAAAAATCTTCATCATTTTACCTTTGTGAATCTGGAGTTTTGTTCTAGATTTAGAACTACTTTTGAAAAAAAAAATAAAAAAAAACAAAAAAAAAACTACTTTTGGTTCCACTTACAGTCAAGTGCTATGATCTTCCACCAGATATTTGACCAACGTGTGCCCAGCCCTCAAAAGTTGTTAAATGTAGACATTGATGTAGGTCTATAGTTTGTCTGGTACGCTTGAAGAGGGGAAACCTTGTCACATCCTAGTTGAAACTGGTTTTGTATTTCTAAAAAATTATATTTGCGTTCAAGGTAAATTACAAAGTAAGATCTTTGTGTGAAAAGAATTACTTGAAATGGCTATCTTATATTACACTTACCTTTCTGTTAATGCTTTTCTTATATTGGTTGCACAGTATATAGAGAATTCTGTTTTAACACAGGTATAAATAGTAATAGCCATCTGGTTTTTCTTTTTTCAGCTTATTTTATAGTCTCAGGAAACGCTGAGATAACAAAAGAGGTTTTCTTTTGAGCTCTTCTCCAAAATGAGTTCACCTAGCAAGATATGTTGGAGCACTGACAGTCTCAAGTCTGTGAAAATTTGGTATATAGTGTGTTTAGGATATGAAAAAAAAAGTTAAAACATATTTTAATCAAATGCTTGTATAAGTCCTCAGTGGCAGAACTACACAAGCCAATTTGAATCAAGGGCTTCTACCATGTTGTAAAACTTGTTTTCATACCAGTTTTAAAAAGAAAATCTAATTTATAAATCTAAACATACTAGTATGCTTATTTTATGTTTTGTAACTTAAAGTATTTGATTAGTATTTTAAAGAGCTTTATACCACTTTTGTGACCAATTGTTTCCTTTCTTCCCCTAGGGAAATGAGGCAAGTTACCCTTTGGAAATGTGCTCACACTGTAAGTTGAATATTCTTGTTGTTAAGAATTTCTTAGAAATTACTTTTGCAAATGTATATTTGTGAGTATACAGAACACATCACTGTAATACATATTTATCTGTAAAGTTAGCTTCTCTTTTTTTGCATGGTACTGAGGCTTAAACCTAGTTAGTGGATTCCAGGGTGCTAGAGTCTCCTTCTGGAGGTGCTTTCTAGATTCTTTCTATTGTAAGTAAAGCACTGGTCAAGACAAGCACAAATGGTAGCAAAGTTTTATTAAAGGTAGGAAAAGAAAGAGGCTCTGCAGAGCAAATTAGAGTGAAGTGAAAGTAGGAAAAGAAGTATGCCTTACAGTATGAGGACAGGCCACAGTGGAAGTGAGAACACAGTGGCAAAAACAGTGCAGACTGTCCTTTTTGTGTCACCCACTCTTCAAGCTGATGTAAGATCTAGGCCATCCTTTGGGAAAGCTGCTCAAGGTTTTACTAGAAGTCCCCATGTAGGGCTGTTCTGCACGTGTCTAGGGATCTATAATTAACAGGTCACATGTATTTTCCCAGCCAGTTTTGCCATGCCCCAGTTTCCTATCTCATTACCACTGAGCTACTATATTCCTGGCACTCATTCTCTTTAGTTTTGAGACAATCTAGCAAAGTTGCCTCAGTGGAACTAAAATTTGGATCTTTCTGCCTCAGCTTCCATCAGTATTTGGATTAGCAGAACCCACCATCATGCCTACTACAAAATGAGGCTTTAAGTATTTAAAGTGGGTAATTTGATATGTAGTCTGTAAGATGCCAAGTGGGGAAAGTTTTTGTAGACTTCATTAATATTTGTATTGTGCTGTAGTCACAGATAAACCCCCAACTCTCAGTGGTTTAAGATAACAAAACATTTTTCAGATTAAAGAATTTCCAAAGTGGATTTTAGGAGCTTTTTTCTGTTTGCCACTCATTGGTCTAGGCTCCCTTGTTTTGTAATACCAACAAGTCTTTGCTTGATTCCCAAGATCAGCAGGGAAAGGGAAATTCAAGGACCTGCAGGCTGTGTTTTTAGTCTGATGGGGTCCAGAAGTGATCCGTATTCTTTATGCTTGTGGTGTATAGACCAGAGTTGGTCCCATAGCTCTACCAAACTGCTGTGGGGCTGGAAAGTTTAAAAAAAAAAAAAATTGTTTTTGTTTTTGTTTTTGTATTTTTAGGCTGAAGAAAAAGATAGGGTATGCTGTTTTCATTAGGTCTTTAAAAAAAATCCTAGGTAGGTTTTGGTGTGATACTCTATATTTGTCTGATTCAAAAGCACATTTGCAGAACATATATCTTGTCTAAAGCAAATATCTTAATACCTAAAATGTTTTTTTTTTTTAAGTTTGAAAAGGTAATTTTCACATATGATTTGATGGAAATTTAATATTAGAATAAATTGCAATTTAGAATTAATTTTTGTATTAATATTGCAATAAGAGTTAGAAGGCAAACATAATGAATAGTGGTCTGGTCACCTACAGCAGCTGCTGATAACCCATTAACTATTAGATGTATGTTCATTTTGACATTCTTTCGAAACTACTTTACTATGTATACTAATTTGTTTCATTGATACTACTAGTTTTTCATAGTTCATTGCTAAGAAAATTTTGTGCTAATATTTGTTTTTTCTTTGTATGAGAATCCTTTTTGTTGATGTTTGTATTCTCTGAGTAACTTCTTTAAAGATGATACACAGTATATTATTTTCTTACTACTTTGTTGTAAAAGTTTGTTTTATTGTTTGATAAAAGAAATGTAGGATTGTACTTCCACAGTTTCCATTGCAAGATATTTTAGTTTGATTTTGTTACTATTTTTGGGGTTAGGAATTAAGCCTTTAGGAAAAAACCATTTGATTTGTAGAAGAATAAACATTTTCCTTATAGTCGATTTTACTTATAATCTAGTAAGATGAAAGACTTAGTAAGGCTCTTTTAAGTCTTTGGTCATAATACTCTTGTATTGATTTTTTTTTTTTTCCTTGTACTAGGGATTGAACTCAAGACCTGTGCATCCTTTTATTAAGTAATTGGTTGATTTAACAGACAAGGTCTTGTTGAGTCACTAAGTTGCTCAGACTAGACCCAGTTTTCAGCTCTGCCTCAGCCTACTAGAGTGCTGGATTACAGATGTGTGCTACCATACCTGGCTAGTTAGACTGTCTCTTATATGTTAATGGTTCTGTTAATTCAGTCCTCTCTTCCCCAGTGTTTGCCTGCCTGTTTTCTCCAACATTTTCATATATATTCTAATGAGCTACTTTAGTTCCCTTTTATATTCTGTTTGTAGTGTGTCTGTTGGTATACTACAACAGGTAGTCAGCATCATTCAGACTCTTTTCTGGTATCTACAAACGTTTGACAAGTACATATCTTAGATTTTCCATTGTAACCATAGTTCTTAATGTCACTTTAATTGCCACAGACAGACTCGTGTGATTTGGAAAGTAGAAGTGAGTTGGAGTTTTTTAAAATTTTATTTTATTAATTGTAATGAGAAAGAAATAGCAACGAGACAGTTTGAAAACAGGTTCGTAGGACAGTTAACAATAATTAATACATTGCATATTGTCTTCATTGTAGTTATTCTGGGTACAATATGCAGATATGATATCTTGTCTAAGATATTAGTACAAATCTTTTTTCTCATTGAACTAAGAGAAAATGGCTGTATATCCTATTTTGTATATACAGATATATACAGATGTATATATTTTTTTCCACTACAAAATGGCCCTTCATTTATATACCCCTTTTTTTTGTTTTGTTTTGTTTTGTCAGAGATGGGTGTTCCATTACCATTCAAATATTGTAGGTGCGTGCATTCAGCAGAATAACCTGTTATAGTCCAATAGTCCATAATAGTAGTGATTATCCGCAAAACTGGCAATGCCAGAAGTTACTGTCTTGAGCCTTTTACAACTTAGCATATTAATATGGCTTTACTTTTTATACCTCATGGTTGTACTTTTCTGCTGCGTGGTTAAGACCAAGAGTCTGTTGGAGTTTATTGTTTTCTGTTCTTACTGTTTCTGTTAGTACAATTCTGGTTATGATTTGGATTTTTGTATTTGTGCATTGTTCTGGAGTGGAAAGCTTTTAGATTTACCATGCAGCTTCCTGGCTTTGAGGACAGGCAATATGTACTCTTCTGATAGCATAGCTCTACAATGTGCCTTTGTAAATTGTTTCTACAAGTTTAAGTCTTTTCAAGTCCATATAATGGTTCATATAACATTAAAAATCTGTTTAGATTAGCTGAAATTTAATTTGTTATCTGTAGCAGATCTTGAAAAATACAATTTCAAGGTATTATATAGGTTGTACACTCTTAAGTGGAAACTTGGATTGACTAGCCTGGTTGGATTTGGAGCTAGTAAATATTTTAATTATGAAAAAAGCACAACATTGGTTGTGTATAGCATACAGTGATAAAAAGTTAATATATTCATCTTGTGATTGCATAAAATAAAGTGCTTATTGAAGACAAAACATTGGTAGACCAAGTAATATTGCAGAATATTTTCTGGGGAGGAAGAGGACAAAAATAATTATTTGTGACCATACTGGAGAATCTAAAGGAAGAAAATAAAGGCTTAGTAATTATGGTTTTAAAGACCAGTCAGAACAGTAAGGAGCTGGTAATAGTTCCTTTAAAAAAAAAAAAAAAAAAAATCCGATCTCTAGTGTTAAAGAGCAGTGATTGGGAAAGTGGGGAGATCCTTAGAATTGAAGTAGAGCCAGCCCATTGGTAGGTTAAGATACAAGGCTCTGAAATTCTGGGACTATTGTTCTCAGTGGAAACAGCCCTGTGAGCCTAAATGAGGCTGATCCCACCTTGCTTGGAGATCTCATTAACCTGTAACAAACTCAGTTTCTTTTTGAATTACAAAACCACTTTCCCCATTGCTTTTATGTTCAGCAGTCTCCTTTCTCTTCTCCAAACATCAGTCGCTTTCTGCTTTTGCCTGCTTCTGAGTTTAGGTGGAGTGCTTCTGTCAGCTTTTTTTTGGCAGGCTGCCTTTAGTCTCATCTCCTTGTAAGTGAATGATGCCTTTTGTCATTCCTAACTCTCCTTAGGTTTTTGTCCTGAGTAGTGTCTTGTGTATTTTGTTTGTAGCAGTCACCATAAACTGAAATTACTTAGTAATCCATTTACCTTCTATTTTGTAATTTCTATAGTTTTTATTTATTTATATTTGTGGTGCTGGGAATTGAACCCCCCAGGGCCTTGAATGTGCCAGGCAAGTGCTCTGCCACAGACAAAACCCCCTCTGTACATTTTTTTTTTTTCTTTTTGGCAGAACTTGGGATTGAACTGAGGCCCTTGCGCTTGCCAGGCAAGTGCTTATTTTACAGAGCTATGTCTCCGACCCCTAGCTATTCCCCGGCCCCTTTTTACAATTTTTTTAAAACTTAAATTTTTATATCGATGATTAATTCCCCATAATCTTGCCATGCAAACTAGTGTTTACATTTTACTATTTCCTCATTTTACTGTTTACATTTTCCTTTCTTGTGAATTTCTCTTTACTAGGACCATATGTAATCATATACTTAAGTTCCTATCTTAAATGTGAAAATAAATTATTACATCCAAAATATTGTTTGAATTGACAAAACCAGGCCTAGTTATGACATTGTAGACCAGGGGTTGGTAAACTGCCTGCAGGTGCTTTTTATTAATAAAAGAGCACCTAGTATTGTGCTGTTTCACTTAGTGTTCTGTTTGAGCTTGTGATACAGTTATTCCTCCAGGTGCTGGTGGCAAGAAAGAGATGTGGGAGTCTGTAATTAGCTAGATTTAGGCTGCAGTATAGTTGGGTTGGTTGTTTTGAATACAGCTCTGGTTTGAAGGAGGGTCTAGGAAGTTTTTATTTCTCAGTCAAGGAACAGATTTTTATTTTATTTTTTTTCTTTTGCTCTCCTGTTAGGTGTGGAACTGAAGGTCATTTACCTTGGTTGCAAAAAAAATACGTTAGCGCAAAAAG